GGTCTCAAACTCCTGAGCTCAAACAATCCGCCCGCCTCGGCCTCCCAGAGTGCTAGGATTACAGGCGTGAGCCACCGCGCCCGGCCTGCTGTATTGTTTTAAAATAAATTTTATAATGCATATTTGACATTGACAACATGATGTTGTGGGATACATATAGATGATAAAATGGTTACTGGCATGAACCAAATTAACATATCTATCATCTCACAGAGTTACTTTTTAATATTTTTTACTGTTGATATATTTAAACAATTATATCGTAAGTCTAAATATGTCTTCAAATTATACCAAAATTTGGAATATACACTTAAAAATTGATATCAAATATTCATCTTTTACTTACCAGATTCAAATATTTCTTCATCTATGATTTTCCATGGAGGCAAAAAACAAGAAAGTCATTACATTACTATCTACACCGAGTCTATATTTTAATGATCTAATTCCCTGGCCTATGCTTCTGCCCACACACCACCTTTTAAATTTTTTTCCTAAATCCAAGTCAAATCAGTGGTGTCCCTATGCCACATATAAGCCTTAAATAAGATACATGGTATTCAGCATTGTGCTATAATGACAATCAGCGGTGCAGCTGGAGCTTAAAATAAGTAAATAAAATGATGACGTAGAAGAGAATAAGTAAAATGAAATTTAAAAAGAGGCTCCAAGAGAAGGGGAAAGCGGAATGTCACGGGAAACCCCTATAGACTGTTGGACGTGGCACAGCTTTGCTGCCGGCAGCCTGCAGATGTAGGCGAGCGGGGGCTCCACAGCAAGCGCAGCGTGGCAAGGAAAACAAGTGCAGGAAGGGCTGATTGAGCAGGTTTGTTCAGGCAGCTGAGAAACGTGTGAGAAAAACCAACTTCCTCATTAGTTAAAACAATTCTTGTTAGTGTTTTACAAAGAGATTAAGGATTAAGAAACTAGAATTTTTATGGAAGGCAATTTGAACATTTCCAATACATGCACCCTTGGATCAGGCAATGCTGCATCTAAGGTATACCCACACACACGTGTGAAATGACATATTTATAAAGCTATTCATTGTAGCACTGCTTATAATAGAAAAAATCGGACATAAATGTCTAATTGTATAAATGTGCAATAACCAATAAGCTGTTAAAAAACAAAGAAGAGGAGGCTCTGTATGGACTAGGATAGAATCATCTCCAAGATATACAATGGTAAGTAAAAAAGCTAAGAACAGAAGTGTGTATAGCATACCATCAAAGGGTAGATGAATTCGTCTTTGTGAAAAAGAAGGTGGGGATGAGAAGGGAGAGAGGAGAAAAATATACATCATTGCTTCTATATGCACAGAAGGTATCTGGAGAGATACTAAATAAACTGATAATATTTATTCCCTGAGGAAAGAAAACTGAGTAGGAGACCTGGAAAGAAAGGAATTTCTTACTAAATATACTTTTGTAGTTTTTAAATTTTGAACTATGTGAATGTATTATCTAGTAAGATCATAATTAAAATTACAGAAAGGAATATTACTACAAGTAATATTACAGAATGTGTACTTGGTAAAATAAACATAGTGTCAACATTACTCTGTAGTTTTTATGGGAGATATATGTGAATCTTTGAAATATCCACTATTTAAAAATTTCATATTGTTCTTTCATTTCTAAAAACTAGATTAGCCCATAAAGCTGAGACAAAGTCACCTGTCAGACTAAAGTCTCTCCAACTAGTATCTCAACAAAATTCTAGTGATTTTTGAGCCAATCTTAGTTCTTCCACTAGATTTGAAAAATCTTTTCCCAATTTACAAAAAAAAAAAAAAAAAAAGAAGTATAGAAATGTAAAAAGCTTTCATACATTTCTCAAAATTTTGGAACCTACTACTATCAATGCTAGAATCCACCAGAAGATGGCAACAAACTTAATAACAAAATATATATTTTGCTTTATAAAAAATTGATATTATAATATTTTATGATATTCTACAAAAAGCATGGGAGTTTCCAAGTGTTCCACCATCTCATATACTGAGTGTTACTAAGTGTTCTTGACATCATTGCCAAGATACTGTTTTCTAGAATGTTCTTTAGTACGTTGGTGGGAGGCTGGAGGCATTCCCATTGCTTCTCCTTCCAAGTGTCAGAACCACAGAAAAAGGATGGGGGTGGAAGGGTCAATTTACACATTTCTTCCGCAGGAAAAGCCCATGGCCCCATTGGCTGACTCTAGTTCAGATAATTTATAGGGGAAGCGCTTCATATTTCTTCTGATGGTATATCAATTAAGAGGAAATGTTACCTGCTTCCACGCATTTCTCATCAATCTTCATGTCATCTTCTATAATATAAAAGAGGGAAAATAGAATTTCAAATATATCAGCATTAAAAACAAAATTCTCTATGTATAGGCTTATGTCAATAAAACTCAGACCATCTTACAATAATGTTACTCTTACAACTATTGCTCATTTGGAGAGATAAAAAGGACTCTACCATAGTAAATGAAAATGTGTGATTTGAGAGGTTCTATAACATAAAATGGTTAAAAATTAAAAAGCATAGGCTTTTAAAATTTTTTTCAAGTTTTTTTTTTTAGAGACAAAGTCTTGCTATCTTACCCAGGCTAGAGTTCAATGGCTATTTACAGGCGAAATCATAGCTCACTGTACCTAAGTGATCCTCCCACCTCTGCCTCCCAAGAAGCCGGGACTATAGACACACACCACCGTGCCTGACAAAAAGAACAGGCTTTTGAATACTGGAAAAATTAGTTCATCTCTAAGCCTCTGTTTTCCACCTGTAAATGGGTATTGTAATAATACCTACCACATAGAACAGAATTAATTGAGATAATGCATGAAAAGCTCAGGCACATGGTAAGTGCTTGATAAATGTTAATTATTTCTACCTTAGAGGTATATACAAGAGAATAAAGGAATATAACTTTAAAACCCACTTATCTTAACACTCAAAGCCTGCACAACATGATCCAAAGCCAACTAGGAAGCTTGTTTTCCACTTCTTTCCTTCACGTATCTTATGCTACCATTAGAATGGAGTGATACCATGGTTCTTCCTCTGAGCCTTTGCTTACGCTGTTCCCTGTGCCTGTAATGCTTCAGGCTCCATCTCAAACGCTGATAGAAATCAATACCGCTGCTATGAACCTGCCTAGCACTTTCTTCCCACTTCCTTGAACTCTCTGCTACTGCACATCTACTCTACCTCCGTAACCATTTGGGTGTTTGCCTTATTTGCTCTCCTAGGCAGCTCCCTAAAAGCAGAAACTGTCTTACTAGTTTTTACACACTTTACGGAGCTTAGGAGAGTGTCTTGCACATAGTAGGTAAATTTTCCTTTGAATATCAAAATATTTGGTTTGAATATACATTCTGAAAAAAGGTTTTTTTCTTTCAGCCCTGAACCTCTCGTGCCTGGCACAGTGCCCGGCGTATCTCAAGTGCTCAACAAATGGTGGTTTAAGAAATGAAGCTTATACATGTCCCAGAAGTCTGTATGATAAGCTATAATAGCAGGAAGTAACACATCACCACTCCCTTAAAAATCGCACAATTCATTCATGTTTTTAAATGAAATATAAAATGTGAAAAATTTTATGAAGTAACACTGTCTCACAGAGGGAGGGGCACAGATAAACAAGTGACATGGCTGAGATTTTCAGCACTGTCATTCACTCCCTTGTGTTCGCTTAGAGACTGTTTTCCAGATTAGCCATTTATAACAACAGTGAGTTCATTAGTTCCCGGGACATAACTAGAAGGCAAAAGGCAAACAAAAATTACCATTGTCATTTCTGTTTTACAGATGAAGGCACAGAGACCAGGTGTGATTCTCCAGTGATAGCACAAGAAGCCCTGACTTTTCTGATTATGTGACTCTGGGACCTAAGATAGGTCCATGGATTATGCTCTCCCCAAATCAATAACTGCATATTATCAGCTGGGGTAGGTGTTATGGACCGAACTGTGTCCCTGCAACATCCATATGTTGAAGCCCTAGCTCCCAGTATGAGTGTTTGGAGATAGAGCCTCTAAGGAGCCAAGTGAGGTTAAACGAGGTCTTAAGGTTGGGGCCCTAATTCAATAGGACTGGTGGCCTTATAAGAAGAGGAAGAGACACTGGAGATCTTCCTCTCTCTCTCTCTAAGCATGCACAGAGGAAAGGCCACGCGAGCCCACAGCCAGAAGGTGCAAACCAGGAAGAGAGGTGTCACCAGAAACCAACCCTGCTGGAACCTTGATCTTAGAACTGTGAGAAAATAAACGTCCATTGTTTAAGCCACCCAGTCTGTGATACCTTGTTATGGCAGCCCAAGCTAAGACAGTGGGCTTATTACTTGCCAAGAATGCAGAGTCCCCGGCCCTTCCCCAGGGCTATGCCCAAGCAGCCTGCAATGTGACCCTGGGTAGATAAACCCAGAAGCAGGCACCCTGGACTTGCCTCCCTCTCCCACCTCCTTCTGCTCCCATTTCTGCTATCACCTGCCTGTGTCATATACCTCTCCTGTCCTTGGGGGACACAGGCTGGAGCCCTAGGTTCATAGATCAGTTTTCGAAAGTCCCTCTTTTACAGTTCGTTGCTCTCCCTTTCCAACTTCAGGGATGGAACATGGGTGATGGCTAAGGGGATGAGTCTTTTCTCTTTTATCCCCTCTCCAAAAGCAGACAGCATCTTGCTTTCTTTCTTGTGTCTGCACGCACGTGCATATGCTCATGTGTGTGTGTATTTGACATCGCAAGTCATCCAGATGGCTGGACATGGAGAAGGGTAGAGTGATAACTGAAGGTCTCATTTGCCCCCTGAGACAGGGGTCCTTCAGACACATGGAGGCTTGAATCCAGACTGCACCATTTGCAACTTCTGACAACCATTCTTACCTTCTCTGAACCTCAATCTTTTCATCCATAAAATGGGAACAATAGCAATTTTCCTATAGTGTTATTCTTATGCAATGTGTATAAAGCAGTTGACAAAAACATTTGATCAGTTCCACAACTTTTACTGAGTTCTTACCATGTACTGTGTTAAACTATGGAGTTGCATATAAATACTCCTTCTTTTTCTTTATTCCTTTCAGTGTTAGAATAATTACACTTTGCATGCATTCTTTTGAATGACATCTTTTTATAAATTAGGGTTATTAATGACTAGCACACTACTAGGTACATAGGAAGAGCTTAATAAATAACCTGAACCGAATTGAAGTGAAGTTTTAAAAGTACAAGAAATTTCTAGGAGATTTTGGAAATAAGAGTTGTTTTCTAAATACTATTTCTTACCTTCTTCCATAGAAATCGCTGGGTATAGGCCAATGGTTGAAGCAAGAAAAAGAGAGAACACAACAGTCTATGCTATAGATTCTCAGGTGAACTTACAATAAGAAAAGAAAAGTGCCAGAATTATTGTAATTAACGTTCTGGGTTTATTCTCCAGAAATTCAGTGAAGATTTAACAACAAAATGATAATCGAATGCCCTATAGAAACTAATACATGTGTGAGCCTTGTTGGAAATGGAGCTCTGTTTGCTTCTGGTAGATCCCATTCCCTTCCATCCCAATAAGCTCTAAACGGGTTGCATACTACTCATTTCTGAATTAAGTGCTTAGTTCAGCATATTTTAGAAACTCAAATCTTGAATGGAAGGAAGGAAAGAAAGAAGGAGAGAGAGAATGAAAGGAAGGGAAGGAAAGAAAGAGGGATAACAACTTAACTGTAAGTGCATCTTCAGTAAACAACTTTTCAATACCCATCTGCAAAGTAATGTAGGGTTTGAATTTTTTAATAACTCTTGATTAATAAAATTGCCTCTACCTCTTAACTCAGTAGCCTGCCCCTGAGATTATTTTTTCCTATGGTAAGATTAAAGCAGAGCAGAAAATGACAAAATGATATTTATTGCAGCATCATCTACATCATCATCTATAATTGTTGTTAAAGAAATAACTTAGTAGTTTAGAAAATGATCATGCTCCATCTGAAATATTCTCTGTGGGATGTGACCCTTTAAGTCAGTGGTTGCAACTCTGAGACTCCTGGACTTAGAGATTTGTGAGGATAATAACAGAGTGATGCTTTCAGTGTGGACTTTCCAAAAAGTCTAACATAAATCATACTTAGGCTGCGTAAGCAAATTAAATGTCAACCAGCGGTCATACTACAGATAGTTATCAAATGTTGATTAGAGGCTCTAATTAGCATTTCCATGTGCCTTTGATAAACGAAATAGGAAAATTAAGAATTCTTTCCATCCAGTTTGGTACAAAAAAAAAAAAGACTTTTTCAAAACATGAGAGAAATAACTAAAATATCACTATGAAGATTATGTCATGAAAAACCTTCCTGATATAATATGTTTAAAAAAAGTAGTATTGCAGCTATTACTGTAACCTTGTAAAATATGTATTCGTAACTGAAAGGTAATATGAAAATATTGTCATTGAGAAAGAATAAGAGTGTTTTCTTCTTTCAAAAATGTCTTTATATGCAAGAGGACAAGCAAAAAAAAAAAGAAAAAGAAAATGAAAAATGTCTTTATAGGCTGGGCATGGTGGCTCACGCCTGTAATCCTAGCACTCTGGGAGGCCAAGGAGGGAGGATCACTTGAGCTCAGGAGTTCAAGATCAGCCTGAGCAAGAGTGAGACCCCAGCTCTACTAAAAATAGAAAAATTAGCTGGGCATGGTGGCAAGTGCCTGTGGTCCCAGCTACTTGTGAGGCTGAGGCAGGAGGATCGCTTGAGCCCAGGAGTTTGAGGTTGCTGTGAGCTACAATGATGTCACTGCACTCTAGCCTGGGTGACAGAATAAGACTGTATCTCAAAAACTAAAAAAAAAAAGTCATTATAGTTGTCATATCTTTTCAATAGAGAAATAAAAGGAAAAATAATTTTCAGCTTAAAGAAGCGAGAAATAATAAAGTGGATGAGGGCTTGCCATAGCAAATCTGTAAAACTGGGACTGTCATCTACTTTAGTGCCCTTCCACTGTGTCCCTCCCCTCTCCTGATGCCCCATCCCTTCCTTAATTCCTTTCCAGGGGCCACCTGAAGGTGGCCTCACTCAACAGTTTCCAGCTGGGCTCTGCCAAGCTACAGCACCCTTTACTAAGGCAGTAAGTAGTTCATAAGCATTTACCACCATGGAGCCCTTTATTAACCACTCCCCCAACACACACTGCTATTTAAATAACATGGTCTAGCAATCGAACTACACTAATTCAGTAATAATTCAGTCCCATATTTATTCATCAAAGGCACACACAACTGTCAATCAGTGCTTCTGAACAGTGTGAAAATTAAGCCCCTAAGTTGATGGAACCCAAATGCAGGTTTGTGTGGCTATGTGGCCTTGCTTGCCAATCTATGCATAGTGCATATATGAGCTGCAGAGATCTTGGAGGACTTCAAGTTGCTGGGGGATGACTTAATGTGTTACCAACACAAGAACATTTGCATCTTCATAAACCGAAAACTTTTCTAAATCCAAAGGAATGAATGTCTATGGTAGGACTTCAAGTGGCTGGCTGCCAGGGAGATTTCTGGGGGGCAGAGGGGACATTTAGAGATCCTCTCCTGGGCTGGAAGCCAGCCCTGGAAGAGAGGAAGCAGGCTTCCCCAGACACACACATGTTGGATTTGAGGTAGCCACATACTCACACATGGTTGATTTGAGGCAGATGTGAGGTTGGTACGGCTTAGACCACCAGAACTCCCGTTGTTTCCTATGCAAAAAAGAAATACACTGTGAGAAAAAAACAAAACCAACTGAGGTTAACCCAGGTGAGAAAGACCAGGACAAACACAAACAGAATGTTTTCTAGAATTCTGCTGCCTTTGCCCAAGCGAAAAGGGTGATTTCTGCTCCGAACACATTCCCCAAACATATAGCCTTTCTCACCACTTTTCCTGCCTCACAGGCTCTTTTCAGAGTAACACAGACTTACAGTGACATTCTGGCCTGTGACCACAAGTTCACGTGCATGGAACTTCAGTAAATGACCTATGGTAATTTGCCTCTCGGTCCTGGTAGCCTGTCTCAGTGGTCTCACTGGAATTCTCGTAGCATGTTCAGTTTCCCTCTCAGACTGTTCGAGTCTCTATGGTTCCTTTAGATGACTCTGCTCCTTCTGCAATCTCTCTAGAACCGCCCCTGGGCTCCACGACAAGGCCTTACCTTTCTTGGCACCTGAAACCTCTGTTGACTTGTTCCTCTTCCCCTGGGTCCCCTCCCAGCAATTCCTTTGAGCCGGTCTTCCTTTCCTCACCTACTTCGAAGCAACTTTCTAAGCAAAATTGCTCTTCTTTCTCCCTTATTCGACATTATGAAGTTTAGAGCAAGAGAAGATCTTCGAGATCCTCTGTTCTTTGCTATTCAAATTGTGGTTCCCAGAACTGCAGCATCAGCTTCACCTGGGAGTTTGTTAGAAATGCAGAATCCCAGTCCTCACCCCAAACCTTCCGAATTAGATAGAATCTCTGTTTTAATAAGACCCCAGGTAAATCAAATGCACATTCAAGTTTGAAAAGCACTAATCTAGTTGAGCTTCTCTCAAACTTTGGAGGGTGTCTGAGGTGTGTGTGAAAATGCAGATAGATAGATCTGGGCCCCCCAGCTCTCTGGCCTCTGATTCTCTGGAGATAAGGCCAGGGCATCTGCATTTTTAAACCAAGCTCCCCTGTGATTCTAATTCATACTAGAGTTTAAGAAGGACTAAGTTAGTCCACTTTCCTCACTTTAGAAATGAGGAAACAGATCCGGGAAGTCAAGCAGTGTGGTGAGATTGAACAGTTAGCAGCAAGCATCTATGATATAATCTAGAAAGTGATGCACTGGGATTAAAAGACCAGGGTTCCAGTCTTGCTTCCCTTCCTTAAGATCTTAGACAAATCTCCGAATATCTGAAACTTAGTTTCCCATTTATGAAATGGGGCTCAGTGCATGCTGAAGACATTTTGAGGACTATGATATATAAAACCTTGCTATAAATTCTTAATTAGCATAGACAGGCAAGGCATTCTGATTCATTAATTATTTGAATAGATAACACATGCACATAGTAAAAATTTTTACAATATAAACAAGTAAGTTTTCTTCCCTCCCATCTGCCCAGTTTCTTGTGTGTTCTTCCAGAAATATCCACTGCATAATTAAAGTCCTTTAATTCATACTACATGCAGGCTAGGAGCCCAGGTTCTCGATTCCTAGTTAGGTGATGGCCCACTAAGTATCTGTTTCCTGCTTTTTAGCCTCTGTACTTTCCCTGGCCCCTCCCTGGTTAGTTCACCCTGTAATCTGATCTCTCTCTGTCTCTCTGTCATCCCCCTCCTCAGGCTTCACCCATCCCTTTCTCCTCTGGGAGCTCCTAGTTTCTCATTCTTGCAAAAGGATGTCCTGTATGTCTTCACCCCACTCCCAAGTCATGTCCACTTGCCAAAAATATTCGCTGCTTTAGTACAAACCATCAACTTCTAACTCCTCAAATTTACGTTGAGTGATTCCACACTCCTTTAGATGGGTATTACCCTCCACTAATGTGCCCTTTTGGGAGAGGCCTTCCTCTCCATTCTTTCACAATCTTCTAAAATCAGATATGATTTGCTACCTGTAGAAAAATAAAAAACAAAAAACCCCGCTACTTGCATCCAAAAGATCCGTCACTCTTCTTATAAAGAGCATACAAATGTTTTACACGCTCGTCCGCTATTCCTTAGCACAATGCTGCTCCTCATACCACTTCCTGTGAGTACCTGAGGCGCTTAGATAAGCTGCAGCTTCCTGGGCTATGTTCATGATGTACTGAATCAGAGTCTCTGGGAATAGGGCCCGGGAATCTGTATTTTAACAGGATTCCCCATTAATTTTTATTCACAGTGAAGTTTACATGGGAAGAGAGAAAAATTATTTGTAGGTATCATGAACCTTATTTATTGAGGCTCTGAGAGATTAAGCGACTTCTCAAAAGCCACATCAGCCTATCTTCTGGGAAGACCTCTTGCAAAGATGTGGCAATGGATTTGGTTTCAAAATTCTCTTCCAGTCCTCCAAGGGCCTCGTGGTTTTCTGACTGGGAATCAGGGGAACCCAAGGTACCTTCTCTCATTCTGTGCTTGATAAGACATTTGTGTAGACTCCGCTACTGACATAGTACTCCTAAACGAACGGTTTAAAGTTCTTATTTTCATATTATATTTTCATGTGGCAATTACTAAAAGCAACATGACAATTTTCTATTGTCTTTTTTTTGTACGCTAACCCAATAAACCTGTAAGTTCTGTGTGTTCCTTGCAAGACCCCCACCTGAGGCTCCTCACCACTTTCCGCCCTGAAACCCTGAGGACTAATCTCATTAGGCCTTTATCCCTGTTCATGCCCTTCAGCTCCCACGCTCAGGTCATCCTTTATCCCTGAACTTTAATACCTGTAAAGCCCTGGCCACCTCTCCCCGAACCCTTCCACACACCTCTGGAGCTCACAGCAAATCTTCAGCAAACTCTCAGGCCTCAGCCTCTTCTTTGAGCCCTCCGCCTTCCTGCTGTCACTGAAACCTGGCCCTCCCTGGGGTCACCGCCTCCCCTGCAGCTTTCAAGAGGTGGCTGTTTCCTCTGCTACTGCCAGGGGTGTTCTGTGAGCCAGCTCTGGGGGAGGGGAGCCCTGACTCATGGTCGTTGCTGATTTGTGTAGTGTCAATACTCCCACTGTGGCTGATTTCAAGCTACCACTCTGACTTCTCTGAATGTGGATGTGAGAAGAGATGCCACAGTGGCTCATGTCTGCAGGTGGCAACACACCACCGCACATGCCCTCATTCCACTGCGCCTGGAGGTGGGGTGCTTGTCCTTGCTTCTCGCTGTCATTTCCAGATCATTCTCCCTCTTCCCTAGGAGCCCTCAGCTCTGAATATTATCCCGCCACTCTTCTGGTAGCCATCACCAGATCACCCCTGCTCGCTCCCATGCTCTCAGCACTGTTTGATTATAATTCTAGATGATTTCAGCAAGCACACAGATGCCCCTTCTAATAGCCTGGCCTCTCGGGTTCTTCATCTCCTCTGTTCTAGTGACCTTTCCCTCATCCGACCTCAGCCACAGCATCCCACTGTCACACCCTAGGCCTTTTCAGTACCAATGACCGCAATCTCTCCTTAATTTCAATTTCTGGTATCCCTTTCTCCACCGACACCTCTCTTCTTCCCAACCCCAAAAGGACCTATCATCCATTTATCCTACCTCCTTCTCACCAATCCTCACCTGCTTCACTTCTTCATCTCCCTCCTTAACAACTTAACTGCCATAATCACTTCCTCGGCCCTCTCTTGGTTTGCTGTTAACTCCAACCCTCTGTCTAATCTGGACATGCTCCCCAGAGCCACTTCACATTTATGACCTTTAACTTAAGTAGGCCCTTAATGTTGATCATACTGTATTGACCTATGTGCTCTCCACCCTCATGGAAATTGTTCAAGCTCTCTCCTCTCTCCTTCCCGACACCTCCTTACACACCCACTCTCAGCTTATGATATTGCTTCTCATTTCACTAAGAAAGTAAGAGCAGCTAAAAGAGAATATCCATAGGCTCCCACCACATCCTGCGCCCTCAGCTGTGCCCATATACTCTGCCTTCCCTCCTGGTGCTCTTCTAGGAACGAACTTCTAATGATTCTGTATCAGGCCAACCCCTCTATCTCGTTCCACCTGCTCATGGGCATCGACAACGGCAATTCTCTTCTCTTTTTCACATATCATAAAAATTTTCCCTCTAACTGTATTATTCCCACTAGCATTATTTACCTTATCTAAAAATTTCTCTCATACTGTTCCACTTTTCTCTCTAGCTATTTCTCCATTGCTCTGCTCTGCTTTGTACCAAAATGTCTCAAAGAGTTTACCACGCTCATTGTCGTCAATTTCTTCAAATCCCACTCTAATAAGGATTTTGGCCTCACTTCTCCACTGAGACTGCTTTTATCAAGATCACCAGTGACCTTCATATTGCTAACTCTAATGGTCAGTTCTTGGTCCTCTCAGTAGAAGTTGATGTAGTTCATGAGGATATCAAACAGCTTTGATTTTCACCCTGCCTCGCTGGTCATTCCTTCTCAATCTCTTTTGCTAGTTCTGTTTCTTCTTCTTGATCTCTTAACATTGGTTGGGGCTTGGACTGCTTCCCCTTTCCAGCTTCACTCACTCCCTTCGTTATCTCAGTAGCCTAAGGCAAGGGTGGTGGGTTGAGATTTGGTGAGAAAGAGTAATGCTTTTTTTGTCTTAGTCTGTTTGGGCTGCTATGACAAAATAGCTTGAGTTTTGTTCATAGTTTATAAACAACAGAAATGTATCACCCATAGTTCTGGAGGCTGGGAAGTCTCAGATCAAGGTGTCGGCAGATTCAGTATCTTGTGAGGGCCCACTCTCTGCTTCACAGATGGTGACTTCTAGCTGTGTCCTCACATGGTAGAGGGGGCAAACAAGCTCCCTAGGGCCTCTTTTACAGGGCACCAATCCCATTCATGAGGGCAGAGCCCTCCTAAAGGCCCCACCTCTTAATACTATTGCATTGAGAATTAGGTTTCAACATATGGATTTGGGGAGAGATACATTCAGACCACAGCACTTTTTAAGTTTGCTTTAGTTTCCCAAACACTTTTCTCTCTTTTCTAGCTGATATAATTATTCTGGTCCCCTTGGTATTTAAGATGCTTAGGGTCTATCAGCGAGTTGACATGAGGATTTATAAATCAGTTCATGTGTGTTTGTCCATTTGCTCCTCTCCTTTGTCTCATCTTAACTACAGTAACAGAAGCCTGAAAAAACATTTTATTTCCTGATGGCCCAGTCCTGAGTCCAAGAGGGATGACTTTTCTTACCTTTTTAGAAGTTGTTTAGAAGGGATTAACCCAGCACAGGTAGCAAGATCTGAGATTTTCCGGGCCTGCCACCAGAGGGCATCATTCTGGTCCACAATCTGGAGGATGTCCCCCTTCTGGAAAGGCAATCCAGCGTCCATGCAGGGGATGGCCGGATCCTCCTGGGGCCAGTACTCAGTCATGGCACGAACATACACCTGATGGCAGGTGCATAATGGTGCCATCAGAAGGTGCATAATGGCGCCATCAGAAGAACCCTAGCCATGGGGCATCACTACTTAAAACCTTTTCTCGCAGTCCTCTGTCTACTGCTCCTGTCTTTCCTCTCCACCTTCATCAAAAAATAGAACTTTCCTCCTGAACTGAATCTAAGTACCATGAAAAAAGTGTCTTTGGGAATAGAGTCTCTCAGCTCTGAGAAGTTTTTGCTCATATTGTCACCATTTTTGATGATGTTTCTTGACTTCTTAGTACCCCACCTCCTTTTACCGTATTCATTTACTCATTTTGCCTTTCAGATCATCAGTGTTGAAAAATACCCAACACAATATTGAACCCATGTCCAACACAGTGCAGAGGGTAGTAATTTCATCCCACACAATTAGTCATTGCTGTTGTTATATGGGGATTTACTCCATGTGAGATCAAAGGCTCGGTAAATTCTTACCGTCTTCTGGCTATTCACAGGAGGGTCAGAAACTGGAACCACCTTGAACATGATTGTGTCACGAGACATGGCCTAGGAAATGACAAAGGGACATGGATGGCAAATCATGGAGCTAGCAGGGTTACTGGGGCTTGGTAGATGGGGCTACAACAGAACGTGTCCAGGTCTAATGGTGACGTCCCCCACAGAGACTTTCATAAGGGTTCAACAGGTACCTGTCACCATCCAGAAATGGAAATGTGGAAGCAACTTATTTCTGCTTCTACCCTATTTTGAGGCTCTGGGGTCACTGGTCTGATAAAACCCACACTGAGATGGCCTCTTCCAGGGACCCTCCACCTCACTGCCAACAGAAATACCCACCCAGCAAGGTCTTCTTCCTACAGGCCTTGGGGAAGACATGAGATCTCTGTCTGGCTTTTCCTCCTCATCCCTTACTCAGTAAGCATTTACTGAACATATATCTGTACCAGACACCCCAGTCTGATGGGGGAGAGGAGGGGCTCCCAAGTTTTCTGGGAGAACTGACAAGCTTCCAAACTAACAGTGGCAATGAAGAGTGCTCAAACTGATGAGGGAGACAGAGAGCCTCCCAGCCTAAGGGAGAGGTAAGAATCTCTCTGCTACATACATCATGACAGGTGTTAATGATATAGAGATTAACAAGACCCTACTCTTATTCTTAGGAACTTCATAATCTCACTGTCTTGGCAACTCAACAGCTGACACCAGAAGGGCTGAGGTAGAGGCATGCATGCCTGTGACTTAGTACCTCAAGCTCTCTTTGTAGCACCTTGTATAGAACACAGAATCTTGCAGCAGTGGCTTGCAAAATATTTAGGTGTTTGCTATATTCCTTATAGTACATACCACTCCTCACCTCAGTCTCCGAGCCATCATCGTGAAAACCTAGAGTTCCCTCAGGAGCCCAGTCCGAGAACCTCTGGTCTGTATAATGTATAGTGATCAACCTCAGGCTCCACACATGGGGTGTGCATGGGTGCAGATAGGTGGGGAACGTGTTGCTATGGTTATTAACAACTGAATTGTGATTCAAGGAATGGTCTGAGGGGTAGGAATGGGAAGCTGAGAGAGACTGAAGGCTTGTGTAATCAGGTTACAAATCCCCAGCTCCAGCAACCAAGGAACAGTGGCAGAGCCACCAACGATGTCTCCCTCCCTATTTGCTGCCATCTGATGACTTTTTTCTCCCCCCAAAGCTATTCTCGAGGAAGATGCTAAACAGATTTCAGTTATATTACGGGAGCAAAGGGTGGTTTGCTCAGGTTCAGACTCTCCTCCAAAGTCTCACTCTGCCCACCCTGGGCTGAGTTTCCAATGGAGCACCCCAGGTGACAAGGGACCTGAGCTGGGGGACCTGGCAATCTCCCTGAGGCTGAAGGGGCAGCTTGGAACGGGAAGTTTCCTAGTTGGGGCCACAACTTCTAGGGGGTAGAGGAGGAAGGTCACCATACTTCACGGTGACAGACAAGGTGTGGGGCTCGGAGCGAGGAAGCTGTCGAGAGAACCCAAATCCCTGTCATGTTACAGTGCACACACGTGGGCTTTATGGTCCCAGTTCAGCCTTGGCATTTCACTGAGTCATGAACAAAAAGGCAAAACAGAGAAGACTGTTACCAGAATATGGATTACTTGTTCAGGGTCCAGTCCCTCCACTGAGACTCCATTCACTTCCACCAGTTTGTCTCCAGCATATAGCAACCCTAGGCAAACAGAAACACAAACAAAGGATACAAAGAGATAGGAAAAAAAAATAGAGGTAGCTATCCCTGTAGCTATTTAACAAATTCACTAACCCAAGTATGCTCTAAAATTTTTAAATTTATTATAAAATAATAATAAAGCAAACTGGTTATTCCAACTTACACCACCACCAGAAATGTGTGAGCATTTCATTTTTCCACCTTTTCACCAGCACTTGGTGTTAACTGATTGTGATATTTTTATTTTTGCTAATCTGATATTATAAAATGGAACCAGAACATTGGTAAGCAGATGACAGTAAAAACAAAGATGTCAGGGTCATAAGTAAATGATAAATGAAAATAAAATGGGGGGAAAATGTGGAGAAACTTAGGGTTCAAGATTAAGCCTTTAGAAATATGAGGTAAAAGAGGGGAGCTGTCAGAGAGATGAGACAAGAAACAGGGTCATGTCATGCAACAGAAACCAAGGATGATGAAAATTGCTAGAAAGGTATCAACAGCATCGAATGTGGTAGAGAAATAGAAATACAACCAAGGAGGAGGGGTCAATGGACTTAGCAACTAGGATATCCTTGGTATTAATATGTACAGTAAGAATGCTAAGGCATAAACCATGTGCCAGGTTTCAGGGACTGTGGGAGGTGGGGACATGAGGTGGCAGGTAGAGAACCACTTGTTTCAGAAGCGCAGCAGTGAAAGGATGAAAATTTGGTTAACTGGTAGAAAGAGTGAGCAAAACGCATTTTAAGATGGGGAAGAGCTATGCCTTTTTGAAAGGAGAAAGACCAAGTGGGGAGAAAAAGTTGGGAATATAGAGTCAGGCAGACCTGGACTTAAATTCTGACCCAAACTGTGTTAACCTTGAGCAAGTTAGTTACTTAATCTCTTTGAGCCTCACTCTCCTCATCTGTAAGATGGCATAATGATATTTACCATGTGAGGTCTCCATGAGAATGTAAACTGAGAGAGCATTAATGTGGTTCCCGGAATAGGAGGGGGAGTAAGATTTCTCTGGAATATTTGTTCCTTTCTTTGCCACTTTAACCAAACAATGGAACTTATCAACACCCTGACCCAAGTTAGGAAAGAGGGGTTTCTCTGGAAAGAAGACTTAACAATCAAGGGTTTGCTATTTTTTGGGTGGCACTGTCCCCTGCTGCTCCAGCTTACCGCTCCTCTCAGCCAGCCCACCATGGATGACCCTGGCCACCAGGATGTCCCCCGTCATCTCATGGCGCTTGATGGTGGCTCCCTGGAGAGAGAATATAGTAAGATCCCTCTTTTACCTAACATGACCATTTTTCTAGTGGCTTCTCTCAATCAATGCAGCTCTGGTCTTTCAGACGAGGATATTCATACCAACCAGGTAGAGCAAGAGGGACCACACAGTGCCCTGTGGCCTATCAGTCATATTACACCATCAAAAGGAAAGGCCATTCAGCTTTGGCTTCCCAAGGTCTCAATCTAACCACATAGACATAAAAAAAAAATTTAGATCCTTCTAAATATAAAGAAAGGTCCCACAATTAAAACTGAATCAGAAAGACTATCCTTAGAAAATCAGATTGATGCCTTCCTTAGTTTCCCATTAATAGAGAAAAACTTAGGCAAATGCACTGGAATGGTGTGAAATATATGCATATGTTAGAAAGCCAAATAATAAAATAAAATATATGCATCTTATTTCTCACAAAAATAAGTCTTGTAAGTCTTGTCTTACTTTTCAAAAAATAAAAATGCTAAGCAGAAAGCTTTCCTTAGTGAAAACATTATTGAAACCACAGGCAAAAATCATATAGTTTACACACATTATTATCACTATATGACAGGACTTCAAAAAGTTCACGGAAAATGCATATTATGAAAAAACTATGCATGGATTTGAAAAATTTTTTGCACCAAAATAAACTCATACTAACTTGTTATGACATGTCTGAGTAGGATCTAGTTTGAGGCAGTAAGAAGGATAAGACATGAGTTTGGAAAGAGCCCCTGTGAATTCTGCTAAAATTCAAACAAGAATAAAATTTATGGTGAAGTTTGGGTGGAAGAATGGTAAAATTGTTCATGCTTTATGAAAAGTTTATGGAGGCAAATTCCCCAAAGAAATCAGCAGTTTAAAAATGGATAACTCATTTTAAGAAAGGACCAGACAATGTTGAAGATGAAGCCCACAGCGGCAGACCATTCGTGTCAATTTTCGAGGAAAAAATTCCTCTTGTTCATGCCCTAATTGAAGAGGACCAACAATTAACAGCACAAACAACAGCCAACACCACAGACATCTAGATTGGTTCAGCTTATGTAATTCTGACTGAAAAATTTAAGCTGAGTAAACTTTTCACTCAATGGGTGCCAAAACCACTGTGCCCACATCAGCTGCAGACAAAAGCAGAGCTTTCAATGGAAATTTTAAACAAGTGGGATCATGATCCTGAAGCACTTCACTAAAGAATTTTAACAGGAGAGGAAACATGGCTTTACCAGCATGATCGTGAAGACAAAGCACAATCAAAGCCATGGCTACCAAGGGGTGGAAGTGATCCAGTCAAAGCAAAAGTGGATCAGTCAAGAGCAAAGGTCATGGCAACAGATTTTCTGATACTCGAGACATTTTGCTTGTTGACTTTCCGGAGAGCCAAAGAACGATAACATCTGCTTATTATGAGAGTGTTTTGAGAAAGTCGTCCAAAGCTTTAGCAGAAAAATGCCTGGGAAAGCTTCACCGGGGAGTTTATCTCCACCATAACAATGCTCTTGTTCTCATCAAAAAATCTCTCATTGAACAAACAAACAAAAAAAACAATTTTGTGACAGTTTCAGTGGGAATCATCAGGCATCTACCTTAGAGTTCTGATTTGGCTCCTTTTCCCTTCTCTTTGTTTCCTATCTTAAAAAATCCTTAAAGGGCACCCATTCTTCCTTGGTTAATAATGTCAAAAAGACGGCATCGACACGGTTCAATTTCCAGGACCCTCAGTTCTTCGGGGATGGACTCAATGGCTGGTATCATAGCTTACAAAAGTATCTTGAATTTGATGGAGTTTACAATGAGAAACAAAGTTTCTATTTTTTATTTTTATCTTTTAATTCTATTTTTCCACACATTTTTTTAAGTCCTCTCACATCTATGACTGCAGACAAGACTACTGACCAAGTAACTGCTAGATATAACTCAGTTCACAATTAATGCTGATACAATTCTAAATGAAAAGATAAAACGATTTCCTTACCAGGGGCTGGTGGTTTTTCACCAAACAAACAATCCTCATTGCTTCCTCACTCTCAGGGATATTGTCTGGCAGTGGGGGGAGAAGGGGTTCAAAATCCTTCTGAGCTACCGTGTCATGAGCACTGAGCAAGGCCTGGGCGCAGTGAAGGAAAAGGTGAACAAATGTCACACGTGGGACACACCCATCTAGAAGATAGTGACTCAATGCAATGTCAGACACACAACAACAAACACCAACATGTACATGCCAGGCACAGTTTGAAGAATTTTATATGGATTAATTCAACCTTCACAATAATTCTATGAGGCAGGTACATTTATTATCCCCAATTTACAGATAAGGAAATAAGGCACAGAGAGGTTAAGCAATGCGTAATATACTTTCATTTCTGTTATTCTGTGATGTTCTTATTTCCTGGTAGCCCATGTAATCTGTGGTGCTCCTATGGAGTTTGAACTACAAAACAACTTTCATAATATTTTCTCTAATTAAGGCAGAATGAGGGGCAGTAATCAAAACATCTTGCTGGTTGAATTTGTCAGGAACACCCAAGGGCCCATGTGGAACAGAATGAGAAAAAGTAGTTCCCTCGTTTAAGGTATGATCAAAGAGTTTCTTCAAATAGCCCCCTATGTTGACTTTTCATTTTATAGCGTGAGGAAGCTGTCATTCTACAGCCCTACCCAAGATTGGTAGACAGAATTTAGTTGGAACTCAGAGAAAATTCTCTAAGTAGTGTGTGCTGTTGAGGATACTTGACAACTGATAATTATCTTGTGAAGTAAAATTTTTGACTCATAGATTTCTGTGCTCCAAATGCAGGTATTCTTTTAAAGTTCTAATTTGTTGATAAACTGATCTCAAAATCTGTAAGTAGTAAGAGGTAAGTTTCTGTTCTACAATCAAATGTTCTTCATATACCCCCTCACAGGGACAATCATCATTATACCGTATTCCAAATACCTTCATACACTTTACCCAAAACTTAAAATATTCCCAAGTTGGAAAGGAAGTATGGAGGTTATACCTCTATAAATAGAAGCTTCCCTGTTTATTCCCCCAGAATTTCAGACCACAAGGGCTTTGTGGGCGAAACAGGACATCATGAAAGTTCTGGATGTCTCTTCATAAATATGGCAGGCTTGGCTCCATGATTGACAACACTGAGCAAGTCACATCTGAGTCCCACATATTTAAGTACAGTCTATTGATCACCCATGCATGGCAATAGAACATCTATTCAGAGAGCACATTTTCCATCACATGTATTTCTTCTTCCCAATTTTGTCTGTGTGCCAGATGGGCATACCTTTTCTATTTTAGCAAACACTTGCCTTAAAGTGTGGAGCCTGGAGGGTTTGTCTCAGCTCTTGGATCTCAGGAGAAGTAGGGGTTTCACGTAATAGCTCCACTACCTGGTTCATGGAAAAGAATACAGTATGAAATTTTTAAAAAATCTTTTTCACCTAGTTAACCTTGCCCAGGCTGAATAACGTATATACTACTAACTAACATAAGATTAACCTTTAAAAAGCTGTTATTGAAGACTTCTTTGTCATCTTTAAACGTCTAGGGCAACCATCTTTCCTTATTCATTAAACTTTATTACAGCAAGTAAAATCCAAGATTTGGGGTAGATCTAAACCCCAAATCCCCAGTCCTTGCACATAGCCTTGGAGGAAGAAATACTTAATATGTACCAAGGCCCTTTCCCTCTAGTGGCTCTAAAGCAGCTGTTTGCTAATATCAGTGCTTTACAGGTTCATTTAGCTATTTGAATTTCTCTAGGTAAGTATTAATACCTGGGGAATTCAGGTAGCTTAACCCTATGAGATGCTCCATTCTTTAAATAGGAAATAGGAATAATAATTTCTATTTCAGGGTGTATTATTTGATTAGCAATTTTAATGTTTATTGCAATAAAAAATTACTAACCAGAATAAATTCTGATCACTGTGCTGTGGTTTAGGTAGACCTGCTTTCAGAAGACATAAGATCTCTCAAGACTTTAATCAGCTCCATGAATCTTTAGCAGCTGAGCATCATTAGTCATCATACGGTCAGATGAAAACAAACAGTTTATAAAGCTTTACCTTTATTTGCTAGAATTACAACTGGATAAAATACCCTGTGTGTGTTTTCCTGTGGACAACTGAGAACAATTTGAGTTGTTGATTACTGGAATTGAGGGTAGAATTTTTTTCTTTCTTTTTTTTCTATTTCTTTTAATATGGTAAAATGGATTACATTTATTCATCTATTCAGCAAATGTTTATTGAACACCTACTATGTGCTGGGCACTGTTTTAGGTGATGCAAAAACAGCAGCGATCAGGCAGACAAAAATCCCCATTCACTTTCATATACAATGGAGTTTACATTCTAGTGAGGAGATACAGATAATAAATAAAATATATAAGTAAAATAAATAGTTTTGTTTGGTGGCGAGAAGAGTTAAGAAGAAAAATAAACCAGGTAAGGTGGGTAGGAGGGGATGCAAGTTTAGATAAGTGACCAGGGAATGTCTCACTGAGAAGGTGATGTTTGAGTGGAGACTGGAAGGACATGAGGGAGCAAATCATGTGGCTACATAGGTGAGAGCATTCCAGACATGGGGAATAGAAAGTGCAAAGGGCCTGCGGCAGGAGCACGTCTGATAAATTTAAACGACCACAAAGGGCCAATATGGCTGGAGCAGAGTGAATGGGGAGAGCACTGAGTGTGAAGTCAAAGAGGCAATGGTGGCTGGATTATGGTCAGCTGAGGAAGCACTTTGGTATTTCCTCTGAGATGGGAAGTTAGTAGAAGGGTCTGAGCAGAGAGGTGACATGACTTAACCTGCTTTTAAAGAGGACCTCTTTGGCTGCTCTGTTGAGAATGACTACAAGAGTAGAAGCAGGAGACCAGGTAGAAGGCTATAGTGCAATTACCTGTGTAAGAGACAGTGATGGTCACCGTAGGTGGAACAGGGGTGTGAGATTCTGGATATATTTTGAAAGTAGAGCTGACATGATTTGCCATCACATTGGGTGTGAGGTGTGAGAAAAAGAGAGAATCGAAGATGACCCCACAGACTGTGGCCTGAGCACTGCAAGAACAGAGGTGCCACTCCTGAATAGAAGGGGCTGCAAGAAGAGTAGGTGCGGGCGGATGGGCAGTGGGGAAGATCAGGCACTCAGTTTGGGAATTAATTTGATGAGCTCATTCAACATCCACATAAGATAGGGAGGAGGCAGTTGGATATCTGAGAATGAAATTCAGGAAAAGGGTTCAGGCTGGAGATAGAAATTTGAGAATAGTTTCCATAACATTACCCTATTTATGTAGGGTAAATTGAGTACAAGGTTTAGGAAAAAAGGAGAGATGGACACATGCTAAAAATGTGGGGATTTTTGTTTTAATTTGGGGAGATAGATGGCCAGTTTTCTTCCTTAAAGTTCAATTAAAAACACTTATTAGATGCATAATCATCAATCAAACTTTGCCATGAGACCCTTTAATTCATTCAAACTAGCACTACAGGTAAAACGGCATCACATCAGAGCTCTGCTATTCCACGGGGTAAAGTCTCCTTACCTCACAGGACAACACCTGTGCATGGGGTGTGGCGGGAACTAGCTTCTTTTCTTTAAATTCCTGGAGGCAGTCATACACCTGCAGCAGGGCCAGGGCAGGAGAATTGATACTGATAACATGACTGAGAACATTTTGGATTTAAGGCTCTCATAGAGAAGCAACAGCCTGGGCAACTGTACCAACAGCTGAATAGCCTGATGTGTGCTGGTCTTTAATAATGTGCATCTCTAGCTGCCAAAGAGAAATGAAGTTGAGTCTGGTAGTTCCAGTGCTTCAAAGCGTTAATCATTGGCTGCCACTGGGAAAGTGATCTTCCCTAAGCAATTTCATTGATAGAAAGAAATGCAAACTTTTACTTTTGCTAGACTGAGTGACGGCAGGGTTTCCAGGGCTGAGACCAATAGGGATCTGTAGATGATGCACAAAGTGTCTTCTCAAGGGAGAGGCTCTTTGGGATCAGAGTCCTGCGCCTCGCAACTGCAGAGAGCATGAGCTGCGTGGCTCGTGTCCCGTGAAAGTTCTGAATACGAGGCTGGACACACTCTATATGCTTCTCTGTACTCTGTTCTGCTCCCTGGGGCTGTTTGTTTCCCATTCCTCTTTTAATTCTCCAGTACAAATTCATTTATAAAAGTTCCAACTTTGTTGACTCTTAGGAATTTTTTTCCATACCATGACCTAGGGTTGGGCTGAGTACACACCAAAGCCTGCCTGGTGATGCAGGGCAGCCCTTAATCTTATTTTGGGAAACAGTTTCTCTTACAGACATAAGACCCAAGGGGCCAGCTCAGCCCAGCCTTTTCCATCCAGATCTGTGAAGACATTGCTTCCCTGATCTACCTCAGGGCCAGTGCTCAAGTTTACCTGGAAGTGACGAAAGCTGATTGAATGATGCAGGGAGCGCAAACTACCAATAGCCTAATGGTGGTGATCAAGGGCAATACCCAGGATGAAATTAAAACTGTCTTAGCTAATCCCAGGGGGAAAATGCCTAACAGAAATCTGATGTTTTAAAACAGGTGGTGTTCGGGAGGCTGAGGCAGGGGGATTGCTTGAGCCCAGGAGTTTGAGGTTGCTGTGAGCTAGGCTGATGCTACGGCACTCACTTTAGCCAGGGCAACAGAGTGAGACTCTGTCTCAAAAAAAAAAAAATAAAAAAAGGTGGTGTGAGGAGTACTTCTTTGTTCATGCTAAAGATGCTGCCACTTTTATTTTAAAGGGTATAATTTTTTTGTTTTCTTTTTTTTTTTGCAGCAACTTGCACGAATAAAGGATATAATGTTCACATGCATCTTAAGACATCACATTTCACATTGAAGTGAAGAAAACACCTATATCTCAAAAAATAACTTCAAAAAGGTCTTTCTTAATAATATTTATTCAGAACAAAATTGTAGTATTAGCATTCATTATCTACTATCTCACAGATGTTTTTGCAGAGTGCATAAAATTTTAGCCAAATTAAAAAAGAAGAAACTTCAGAGTAAGAAAATTTTAAGGTTCCTAAATTGAACTATAGATATCTCACTTTCTGATTTTAACAAACAAATAGGAATAATTTTTGAAGCATTTTTATTTGTCCAGAGCCAGCCTCAAGGACAAAGGGTTGTAGCCAGCCGATAAGGTGCTGCCGATGGCCAGGGTGGTGGCTGTTTGTGATCCTAGGGGGTCTCTACAAGAAGAGTTGGGGGGAGAAATGAAAGGAGCTACCATATTTTTTTCCACTGAAGTTAATTCTTTCATAAGCTACAAAGTTTGTGTAGCTCTTCTTTGAGGATTGCCTTCTAAAAACTTTTTCTGAGTTGACGTTTCCTGCCAATTGACAAGTGACGCCGTTCGGTAAGTAGTTGTTATGGTCTGAATGTATGTGTACTCCCAAAATTCACATGTTAAACTCCTCACCCCCAAGGTGATGCTATTAAGAGGTGGGGCCTTTGGAAGGTAATTAGGTCATAAGGGCTCTGTCCTCATGAATGCAATTAGTGCCCTTATGAAAGAGACCCCAGCCAGCTAGCTAGCCCCTTCCACTAGCTGAGGACACAGCAAGAGGGTACCATCTATGAATCAGAGAGAGAATCCTCACTAGACACCGTATCTGCCGGCAACTTGATCTTGGACTTCCCAGCCTCCAGAACTGTGAGAAATAAATTTCTGTTGTTTATAAACTGGGCATTTTGTATAGAGCCTGAATGGACTAAGACAGTAGTTTTCTGCCCCCTGCAATAAGCAAAAGCTTCCAAGCAATGGAGCGCTCACCTTTAGCAGAGCCTGCAGCCACGGGGAATGGAGGAGATCATATAAGAGACACACTCCATTCACATCTCGGCTGTAGAACAGACTCAACTCCTGCAGCACAAGCCTCAGGATTTGGGAGAGGCCTAGGAAAGGGAGAGAGCAGAAAGGAGGTGGCACATGGGGGTGGAAAGGAAGGCAGCTGTAAATGTGAAAGCCAATTCAGACAGCTGGGGCACGCCATAGGGTCTTACGAGGAATGAAAATAACACTGGATTTATGGCCAAAAGATCTAGCTTCAAGTCCTATTCCATCACTTACTATGCGAACTTCAGAAAGTCACGTGACTATCCGAAACCAGTTTCCTTGTGGCAAAATGAGAATGTGCTAGCTTTCTTGTAGGGTTGTTAATATCAGATGTGGTAACAGATCATAAAACACAGATGTAAGATATGAGAGTAACATGATTGCTTTCCCCGCCCCCATCTTACCAGCCTGTGGTTTATCCCCAAATTATCCAGTTGTTGTCTGGATCTTCTTTCTCTAGCTCAAACATAAAGTCATTTTTTTTTAACCTTTTCTAAGAATTCTTATTGAAAGTGTTACTGAAAAACTCTAACTCCCCATAGGTTTTTTTTTTTTTTTTGAGACAGAGTCTCACTCTGTTGCCTGGGCTAGAGTGAGTGCCGTGGCGTCATCCTAGCTCACAGCAACCTCACACTCCTGGGCTCAAGTGATCCTACTGCCTCAGCCTCCCGAGTAGCTGGGACTACAGGCATGCGCCACCATGCCCGGCTAATTTTTTCTATATATTTTTAGTTGTCCGATTAATTTCTTTCTAATTTTAGTAGAGACGGGGTCTCGCTCTTGCTCAGGCTGGTTTCGAACTCCTGAGCTCAAACAATTCGCCCGCCTCTGCCTCCCAGAGTGCTAGGATTACAGGCGTGAGCCACCGCGCCCGGCCTACTCCCCATAGGTTTTTAATACAAATCTCAGTATTCTCTTGATTTAAGAGACTAAACAGGTTTTAGTGAATGTTTTTGCAGTTTTTCATAGCATTATAGTGATATTTTGAATGTGAATGAGTTAAGAAGTTCTAATTTTACATAAAACCTTGTGGGGTAGGGGAAAAAATTGTTCTGAATCCACTGTGTCAATTTCTTTCCTTCCTGTCTTGAAATTTGTTCTCGAACTTATCACTTGTAGTGCAATCGAAAGTGTACAAGTTCCTTCTAGGGTTCACAGTAAAACTATTAGAATCTCTGCCTATTCACTTGCTCGCATAATTTAGAGTGATATTGTAAGACATTTCTGGTCTAAAAAAGGAACCCTGGCAATACATACCATTTTCCGGATTGGTGGCCGTAGAAAGCTTCATGTCCTTGTCTGGCGGATCTGCTCCTTTGTCTGACTGTATCATTCTCCCTACTCGAGTTTCCAAAAGGAATTCAGGACTAGAAAACAGATCAATAAACAGCACATAACTCACTCAGTTACACTGGGCACACAGTTCCCAGCACACTGGAATATATTTTCAGCAGCATTTATTGAGCAAGCCAGGCTCTGTGCTACATGCCGGGACACTCATCAAATGAACACAGTCTTCCCTGTGGTGCTTACTCTCTACATCAGCCATCACCAGCTGGGTGAAAGAGAAAACTATAAATACTATTTCATAAAATGTTCCCCCAACCTCCTCTATTTTTAACAAGCGACAAATAATGTTATATTTATCTATCTTCCACCTCTTTGCCCATCAGAGCTCAGAAGAGTCTTCCCTGGCCTGACTGTATTCAGGTGCCCTGTTCCCTCTCATCGTACCTTACAGTTCTTCATTAGAAGAACTAGCTGATCATAATTGGAAGAGTTATGGGTTACTAGTAAGGCATTCTCTGAGCATTTAGAGACAACATAAAAACAGTCTGTTTTTTTCTAGATAATTTTCCTGCCTGAACCCCATAATCTATCTAGATTCTAGGTAGTTGTTCTTAACCCTGTCAAATTCAATACCAGTCTTTAACAACTAATTTGAAATGCCTATTTTAATCTTTATTTTCTATATTGCTTTAGGTAGGTTTAGTTTCAAGAAACAGAAACCCAAAATTATAGTGCCTTAGATTAGAAGTTCATATTTTGCTCACATGAAAGTTCAGAGGCAGAGGCAAGCCAGGGCTGGTAGGGCAGCCTTGCTCTATGATGTCCTCAGGGAACAGGCTCCTTCCAGCTCACTGTTCCTTCCAGCTCCCTGGGGTGTGGCATGGTCCTCATCTACCTGCTCCAAGATGGTTGCTGGAGCTCCAGCCATCATTTCCTACATTTCAGCCAGCAGGATGGGGGAAGGGATTAAGAAAACAAGAGCAAGGGGAACATGTCCACTGCTCTTTAAGGAAGTTTCCCAGAAGTTGTCCTACCAACACAATGAGGAATCACCTCATTCCCTATATAACTTTCAAATGTCCTGCTGAACTCATGTCACTGAAAAAAATATATATTAATAACTATCTGAACCTAGAACCCAACTTTTCTTTACATATAAACAAAATATTTTTGCACAGGCTTAATACACAATGAATTTGATGGAATGCTACCACCATAACTGAAGAATACATTTACTTTGTTTTGCTTTAAACTTTACCAAGTTGCTCACCAATTTGGAAAATCATGTCATTAATGGTAATGCTGCTTGTGGTATTTAGGGAATCACTACAACAAGCTGCTACATCCCTGGTAGATTTTTATATAGGTTCACACATGTTAGTTCATTATATCTTTTGGTATAGTGATGTTCTATGTTTACATATTGAAATATATTATACAATGTTGTATTGTCAACTTTATTTCTTTAATTTGTCCTTTATGTTATTACTAGAGCATTATATGGATTTTTTAAAAAATTATATGTAGTTGAGTATCTTACTTTGGGTTCCTCCAGGATCAGACACAGAGCAAGGACTCTAGGGCAAGTAATTTAGAAAGTAATCCCAGGAAATACCAGTAGGGGAGCAGGGCGTGGAGGCAGGGAAGGGGAAAAAGCCAGTAGTAATAGGTGTGTTACCAAGTAACCACTATGGGCAACTGGAACTTAATCCCATGGGGGAACAAGGGACAAGGGAGTGGGGGTATTTATGCACGAATGTTGCCAAGCAAGCATTACTTCTGGCTCTTCCAGCCTGCTACATTTACACTCTTAAATAGTAAGTGCAGGTGCTGGCAGTTGGAAGTGTGCCCAGGGTGCACCAAAATGGTAAGGACCAAGGAGATATGGGAAGGACACCAACAACATTTGTTATAGTAGGACAATAAAGAATAAATTAGGATTTTTTTGAAAAAAAGAAATATTTCAAATTAGTTGTTACAGACTGGGGTATTGAATCTGATAGGGTTGAGAACCACAGCCTAGAATCTAGACAGATTATGAAGTTGAGCCAGGAAGTCTTTCTAAAAGAAAAAAAAAAAATCATTATTTTATTGTCTCTAAATTCTAAGGCAGTAAGAAGAGCGACACAGAAAGCTGCCAGAATTTTAGACAACTTTCCCATACACACAGTTTTCCAGTCACATTGATGTAATTTGCTAGATTCTACCAAACTTGACATCATTATCCTTTTGCCTTGCCTCACTACAAACCGCCCTGCCCGGCCCAAGGGAGTCAAGTTGAACCATGCCTTTTCCTGTGTTCTGCTTTCTGAGCCTCTGTTGAATCATTTAGCACAACACTTGTATATGTAACTCATCTTCCTCCCTAGAGGAAGGGAGAGGGTGTGCCTGCCAGACAGAAGTCAGAGCAGACAGATAAGGCTCACACTCTGGGTGACTCTTAACATCTGATACCCTTGGGCATCTCACAAATCACATGTCCTTGGTGAAGCAGAGCAGATTACACAAGCTGTTGTTTGCACATCATAAGGTGGACGGATTTCTTCCATATTTAATGCCCAAATGGTGGTGCGCTGAGTGAGGCCTTCCCATTCAGCAGACGGAGGCACTAGAAACTGTGGGTTTCTGAGATGAACTTACTGTGAGGGAGCTTTACAGATAGACTGTGCTTCATAGACAGGCAGTGGTTCCATAGTGAAGTTAATTATTAAAATAACTTCTAATAAATCTACAGCCAACTTCAGGGCTACCTGGATAACTAATTCATATATTCAAAAAGGCTCATTTTGACCAAAATTTTCTCAGCCATACAGGCAAAAACAGTAAATTTCATCTCCACAACTTAGGTACATAATTTTAAAAGTGTGCTTGCCTGGTCATCTTCAAGTTTCTGCGACAAATTTACTATGGACTGGTTATTCTGACTTTAACCCCCTTTCCTATCAAACTTTAAATAGGGGGGGCTGAAGGGGAGCTTAGAGATGATCAAATGAAACACCATCATTTTACAGATAAGGAATGTGATATTCAAAGAGGTATTCAATAGTGTTATCAAGTAGTAAAATCAAAAGTTTTCCTTTTTTGTTTCCTTAGTCCTGAAAGATGCTAGTGCCTGGCAAAAGTTTGTGACATCTTTGCTTTGCCTTCCTTTCCATGACTTCTGTACCAAACTTTTCAGTTAAGACTTACCTATTTCTCCTATCTTGAGAATGAGAATTCTTGATTGAGACTACAAGTAAATACCTGATCACATGCAATTCTGGACTGATTAAGTAACACAGGAATGGTGGCCAGTTCTTATCATTGGCTAGAAGCTGCGTTACTGTTACTGACTCCTAAGGAATTTGTCACATTACTTTAAAAAAATCAGTATTTCCATTAGCTTCCTAAAATGTACTGATTAATATTAAAAGTCAAAACCCCCTACCCCTATTATGCTTTTCAAAATAATGCTTTTTACTAAACAAACTTTGAAAAAGCACTTGAAAACTTAAAGTCGAGAAATGGTCCATATAAAAATGGCTGGCTTCCTCCATTGCTGTTGATCAGGACTATGACAAATGCCCAATTTTAGTCAATCTTCATAACTCATTATTCCATACTGAAGAAATGGCTTCTCAAAGCAAAACCTGCTCTTTTGAAATCATAAAATTCTCCATATAATTTGAGTTACAATGAAACTAAACCATTTGAATTACATTACTCAGAATTATATCTTTAGCTATTAAAAACTGACAGATGAGCTAGACAGTTATAAGCGATATCTTCTGGTAACCTAGGATTATTTAGCAGGGTCTCTTACCTGCAAGAGTATAAACATGCAATGTTGCTCCTATCCAGATAAAAACTTTAGTAGGAAACACAAGTCGGCTGTTAGCTGCCAAAGTCACCTCACTGCTCCAGATAAAATCTCTGCACATCCTCTTTGATTTAATCCACAGATGCCTAACCCGGTCTAACCACTAAATTACTCACAAGCCTTCCCTAACACAAATCTTCTTAAGTATTGCTTGCACTGAAAACTCTAATTTATATAATTTCCACTTTCATTCTAGCATTTTTTCTCTCAAGTTGCCAGCGCATAGTTAACACTAAAAAAACGCTAGTATTTTTTATTATTTCAGGATAACAGACAGCCCACAACAGAAGACAGTATTTTTAATGAAAGGAAAAACTGTGGAGCTACCTTAAACCAATAACCTATTAACTTTATTAATTTTCTCATGTTATGGTGAGAAAATAGAAGACTCTTTGACCAATAATAATTAGGCCCATTGAAAACAGTTCCTTCTGGTCCCCTACCAAGCCACTGTTCTGAACTTAACAAATAGCCCATTCTCTATCTCAGATTGGAGCTATTTCTTTATTTGAAAACTTTATATTGCATTTATATTGTAGTCAGTAGGAAGAATATTTGTAACGTCACAAAGGGAACATGGGAAAGGGTACTGCTGACAGTAAGGCAAAAGGTGAAGACCAAAAGGCAATTATTAGGTTTATCAGCCCTTTTAACCCAAATTAAACACGTGGCTTTCCTTATCACTCCACTGTAGATAAAAACACAAGCTGGGAAGGTAACACCTTTGTGTTTTGAGCACAGCATATCGTATCAAAAGCATTTAATTTTAACAAAGCTTTCATTTTTAACTCATTTTTTACCTTTAGAACTTTCAGTGCATAGCCCAGCTATGAAGTGACGCCTCTGGCAGCTATAACGGAAAAGAATGCTGGAATTAGAGTAGGGAAGTTCCAGGCTGGAGTCCCAGCTCTGGCAGTGAGCAAATCACAGCCACTCCTCATCTGCAAAATGGGGAGAAATGGGGCTAATACTTACCTCCTAGGGCTGATGTGAGCATTCGTTATGCATGTGAAAGATCTCTGTAAACTGCTGCATGAGTGCTAGGTATTTCTATTTACACACACTGGCCTGGAGATTCAGGGATTTTCCCCAAGAGAGTTGAAAAATTTGCAATTTTAATATGCTATCTGTAAAGTATAAATACAGTATGAAGAATCTAAAATAACTAGACAGTTTCATTTAGG